TATGATATATATATATCAAAATATATTTAAAATATTATTGCATTTTAACTTTTCCCTCTATTTTAAATAAATATTTTCCTAAAATCAAACTTTTAATTAAAAAAATTCAAGGATTTGGGTCCCTGATGAGGAACCCATCTCCATCGGGGACGAGAGTGGAGGCTAAAATTTTTCCTCGACAATGATTGGGCTTGGGGATGGGTATTAATTTAAAACTTGGGGTTAGGGACAAGGGAGTATGATTCCCGCCTCGAACCCACTCGTTTTAATTCCTATACGGGTCATCCCCCAAACCCATAAATATAGTTCCAATAATCATGAAAATTATAAATGTAGTGTCCAAAAATTATGGAAATTATTAATTTTATGATTTAACTTTCACTAAATTAAATTACCAAAATCAGTAATAGTTAGTAACTAAATTACCAAAATCACTAATTATTGCTAAAAAATTATAGTAAATATCAAAATTACAGAAATTGTAAAAAATAAATTGATATTAATTGAAATTAATTTTCCACTAAAGCTTTATTGAAAATTTTTAATTACTATCTAATAATATCATTAAATATTAATAAATTGACCAAAATTATTGAAAATGTAAAAAAAATTATCTTTATTTGAATAAATTTTCAAATGAAAATTACTCATAATTTTTAATTATTAAATTGGTATTTATTAATATTTTAATTAATTGTTCATTTTATGAGTAATTATTTATTTCAATAATTAATTTTCAAAAATTTCTAAAATTATATTACCAATATCAATAATTTTCAACAAGTAATTATTAGTAATTAAAATTTCCAATTACCAATATTACAAAAAATTATCAAATGAATTTAATTACCAATGTTATGGATTTTGACGGAATATTAACAGATGCTAACAACACGGGTAGAGCTAGTCAATTGCCAGAAACAGTGAGGGTGGTTTAAGACAATAATTAAACACTAAGGGTACAATTTATCAAATAGTTAAACAATAGGGATAATTTAAGAAATTTGCCCTTATTTTTTTAATAGACTATAAAATTATTAATAATTTACCATTTTTTATTATTTTAAATAGACTTAAAAATATTAGATTTCTTTTGAAAATATTACACTTTATATAATATTGTTGTAATTCATGAGGATCTCCCAAACTTTATTCAGGATTTTTGTTGATTAGTACATAAGTTAGTTGGTCATCAATCCCAATTGACGAAAATCAAAACTCTAAGGCTCCATTTGTTTACAATACAAATGCTAAATCGAGGTATGTACCCTGGTTCGTGTTTGCAAACGTTTGGTTGTGTTTTTTTTTTCTCACATCGTATATGAGAAAATCACATTAGTGTACCCAAATTTTTTATACAAACTTGTGCTCTTCTTATAAATAGTGTGTTTAATAAAAAATTGAAAGCATTTAATGATAGGGCCTGTGTTTTTCACCTATTTCAAACAAATAACTTACAAAGATCCTCTGTACTTTGTTTTGTGATAGGCTCCTTGTAATATGACCTTGAGACAAAGACCCCTCTTAACCGTTAAATCAGATGATGGAAAGTGTTAAATTATCAGACTTTTTCTATTTTATTATTTTTCATTTTCTCTTAAAACCTATTTAACCTATTGTTTTTAGATGGAGGAAACCATTTCTCATCTTCCCTTTCTTTATCATGAGAATTGCAATGGTTGATAGCCCAACATCAGATGCCTGCCCATATCACCGAGAAGATGTCCAACTTCAACCTCTTAGAAAGCTTAGCCTGCATGACAGCGTTATCAAAGGGGCGAGAGGGACTGTATCTAGGATCTGCTCCATTGCCTGGATTTCAGGGATCTTATCCTCGAGCCGAGTTTCAATTCCCATCCGTGCGCGCTTTCATCCCAGAAATCAGTTGAAGCTTTCGCAAGTCCTCGCTTGAGAACGATTCCTCCACAGAATGATTTTGCAAGTCCATCGTACTGTCAAAAACCCCCTGTACAATGCGTTCACGGAACCCGCTGCGGGCCAATACCCGTCTTTGAAAGGTTTGGTTTGGTGAATCAGAAGGATATGTGTGACTGTCACCCCCCATGCTATGAGCAGACAATTTTTCGTTTTCTTCCTATCGGCCGGGGAACAAAAAACTCTCTTCGTTATGGGGAGAACGGATTTTCTCTCGAAGGTAGTACTCTTGGCTCATCAAGTCGTTTCACTTTCGTATACGTTCGAAATGGTCCACAAGCTCCTGGGTGGAAAGGTCACTACGGATGGACCTTTCGATGCTCGCTAACAGTGACGAAAGATCGATGAACGCTCTAACCTTCTCGTAGAAGCCTCGATAATCCAACCAGAGCCTCTCGAGAGCTTCGRAAGTCATATTAGCCTCCCTCACCATTGCCTGAGTTTCAGTGGCTTCGACAGTATATAAGAAATTCAGCAAGCCATTCTGCAGCTTGACTGCCGTCTCTCTAAAAGCTTCGGCAACAGTTCCGAGCATCGGACTCACCACGCCCGTCGGGGGAGGGCTCCGAAGTTTAGTTGGCTCGAACGGTGCAAGAGCGCGTAGAGACACCGGCTCTGGAATTTGGGAAGTAACCACAGGAGTTCGAGTCTCAGAAGTCGCCGCAGCTGCAGGTTGAACCGCATTCGACGTCTCGCCATCAATAGCGGATGAAGWGAGCGAGTGCTCCACTGAAGACCTGAGGCTTGCTGTAGCCTGTACCACCGAAACAGGGATTGGATAATTCTTCAATTTTACGTTCGATTCTTTCAATCTATCTGTTCCCTTTAACGTTTTCTCTTTGTCTTTTATTTTTTTCCTTTTTTTGCTTCTCTTTATTTTGTTTGTTGCAGGTTGAACTAAAGCCAATGGTTGCCGGTAATTCCTCCTCCAGAAGAAAATCTTTGTCATCTCACAAGAAGAAGCACGTTAAGCCTTCCTCCGAGGTCTTCTATTGTTCTCTTTCTCTATGTCTTCCATAATTTTGTTTTCTTTTAGGGTTTTTTATGATTTAATTTTACGATTCTAGATTCGGGATTGGTTTTTTCTTTCGTTATGTGCGTTGTCTACTTGTTAAAATATTTTTTCATTTGCCCGAATTTGGCTTCTGAAGTATGAATTGGGTCTGAGATTCTGATATGGGTTATCTGTTATTTGATGTCCATCCTCGCTTTCGACATATCTCCCATATATCAATTGTTTAGGTCGGAAAGAGGAATAGGAGTAGAAAGAGAGATAAGTAAATCGTCCTGATGTGAAGGAACGAAAGGATAGCATTGGAAGGTCCAGGAAGATCAACAATATTTTTCTCGTCTAGTTATTACAAAGATAGTATGGAAATTAAAATATATTGTACTAACGAAAGGGGGTCTTTCTCTCACGGTCATAATATAAGAGGTCTTTATCGCAAAAAGAAAATACAGGGACTCTTTGTGACAGACCCCATAATACAGGGGGTATTCGTTACAAAAAACGGATTAAACTATGCATTCATAAATACGAAAAGAGAGTATTTATGCAAATTACATATTTGCGTTTGCATGCCAACCAAACGCAGCATAAGAAACTTTGGCTGTCTACAGTCGGGCTGTTAAACCAAAACGACTCTCTCTGCGCGACACGTTAGTTCATCGAACAGAGCATTTAGCACGGATTCTGTCGTTAGGAATCAGTGTGAACTGACGTGTCATACGGAGAGCCCTGTTGACAGTTCAGCCTATCAAATTTAGACAGCCGAAGGGCGACATTAATGCCAGACAGCCAGAGCATCTGTATTTGTGAATCGTGACTTGATGTTAGTAGACAATCAAGAAGTGAAAAACCGATGGAGGAGCAGAGAGATGGAGGGAAGGTGCATGCGCTAATCGAGAAGGCAACGACCTCAACAGCTTCAGAGGTGGACCCTCGCCTTCTCAAAGCCATCAAATCGGTTGTTCGTTCTTCTGACTCCGAGGTTCGTCTTGCTGTCGAAACCCTAATGGAGAAGATGAAGAAAGACCACTCGCAGGTGCTTCTTTTTCCCTTTTGTCCTTTTCAGATTGTTTTTATGGACCTTGTGAATTTCCAGTATCGTACAGGTTTTGATTTTCCGTAGATTCCTGGTTAGTCGTTAGGTTTGCATATACTTTCATGTTGATATCATGAACTTCAATGAACTCCTAGGATTTTCGGGCAGTTCTTTTCCATTTTTCTCAAATTTCTTTATTCATGCTTTCATTATGTTATTTTCGTTTTTTATGCATTTTTCCTAATTACTACTAAGGCTGCTTTTGTTTCAAGTAAAATTGACGGAACGTTTTTTCAAGCTCTAACATTTGAGCTATATCTTCGCCCCTTTTACAATGAGAACTTCGTTTTCCTTGCCATTTACCCTAAAAAAATTAGAAGGGACAGAAAACATAGTTTCCCCTGTAAAAGGGATGAAAATGGTAGCTGAAATATTTCAGCCTTAAAAAATTATCGTCCATTTTACGGAGAAACACTCGAAAGGTAATATTTTCGTCTATTCACCGTGACTCTAAGGTACCTTTTGAGTGGCCAACAATCAAGTCTTTCTCAAGTTCATCATACCCATCTTTATGGCTCCAATTTTTGTCTTCGACAATTTTAATTATAGTTTTTTCTTCTTGATTTCTGGGTAAAGTAGAACTGGATCCAACTTATGAGAATATTTAGAAAAAACTCTATGGAACAAAATATGAGTAGACAGTGAGAATACCTTTCCAATGGCTGCCTGCTAGGTTGGTTGAGGCAAGGTTCAAGTGATTATTATCCCCATCCATTTGCATCTACACCTTGCTGCGGATGACTGAGACCCATAGAGGGGAAAAAAATAAAACAAAAACATAATCCAAGTGTTAACCTTCGTAATTGAGATGAGGATGCTTGTTGAGTACTGGCTCAAAGGATCCATTTAAATTTTAAACATTAAATTCTGTTGGAATGTCTCAAGTTATCAGGCGTATCCATGTTCTTTTCAGAAACTTTTTTTATTCAGTGATAATAGCCTGTAAATTTTCAAGGTTCAGTATGTTGTTTAAAAGGTGAAGGTATGAAGTGACAGCAAGATTCTTAGGCTCATGAAGTTCAGGCATTGACACATGAAACTTGAACTTCATGAGTATTTATTTTCCAAAATTCCAATGAACTAAATTGAGAGTAGCACCAAACTATATATCATATGGAGAGGTATAACAATAACTCAACTATCATTTAGAAATAAATATCAAAGAATTTTAAAGCCCTTGATATTTAAATATCATCTCCAAATATGTAAAGGGAGATAGAAAAGTTAAAAAAAATAGCCAGATGACGCCAACACATCCACACACAGAAGAAGAAGAAGACAATTGAATCATCATCACCATGTAGGCCTTGTCCCAACTGTATAGGATTGGCTGCATGAATCCTGTTTCACCATTCTGATCTGTTTAGTCTTTAATTCCATATCCATTGTTAAAGAAAATAATTGGATTAATTTGAAAAATATTTGCAAAGGTAAAACTGATGAAGGCTTGCAATTAGGAAGGGTAAAGGATAAGAATCTTGCTCTGCTTGCAAATGGCCGTGGAAATTCCCTTTGGAGTCAAAATCTCTTTGGCATTCCATAAGCAACAGCAAATATGGACTATACCAATGGTTGGAAAATGAACCCAGTGGCAATGGTAACATTGCGCTGGCCTTTTAAGGGTGTAGGTTGTACCTTTCCTTCATCCTCGGGCATATAAAGTATGAACCCATTTCAGGACAAAAAGGTAAAATTTTGGGAGGACTGGTTGTGGGGAGATAGACCATTGTGTATTTTATTTCCTAGCCTTTATTCCATTTATTGTAAATGCAAGACAATTATTTACTTAGCCACAGTTCTTCCTTTTGATATTGCTTGGATAGTGGCCCGTGAAGGGGTCTAAGAGACTTTGAGAGTGAAGTGTTGTGCCTTTTAAACTTTTTTTTACCAATCAAAAAACCTTCTGAATGATCTTGATGGTGCTTCTTTTAAAGGGAGTTGATTCTAGGATTTTAACCTTAGACTCTTTGGTGTTTTTTATTTTCTTTTTTCTTTCTCTTGATCCTCATCTCATAAAAGTTTTAGGGGGTGTTCTGTATTGTGTATGAGAAATTGGTGGTCCACACCACACCACTGTGGCAGGGACCAATGCGCACCACACAACAGTCCACAGTTGTTCTGAATTGTGGATAGATTGTGTGGATTGGTCCAGTCCACATCCACAATGGCGTTTTGTAGATGTGGTGTGGATTGGTCAACACCACACTTTTTGATTCCATGTATCTCATATACAGTTTATGAAATAATCTACACAATCTATCATATATGTCTAATTTTACAATTTATATGATAAATAAATTGGAAAAAAGGCATCAACAATTGAATATTAACCAATAAATATTAATTTTAACAAAAAATGGTAAGAAAATAAATTTTAAAAATAAAAATTATTATTTTATTAATTAAAATATTAAAATTAATATTTAAAAAACAAAATAACAAATTATTGCAAGACAAGCATAGCATCAAATTATGCATGCAAACTAATAAAAAATAACATAGACACCATTGTAGGACAAAGATAGGATCAAAATATTGGTCCATTGGATCCCGTACGGTAATATTGTAGGGCCCTGACTAGCATTGTAGGGTAAAGAGCGATGTATCTTATCAATATTATATTCTTACAACACTGGGGACCGAACTCAACCATGAGAAATACGTGTGGAAGAGATATTGAGCTGTGGACGGGGCTAGTTCGACGATATGTTGTGGACCAGTCCTGTCCACAACATACAGAATGTTGTGGCCATCCCGTGGCGTGGACCGAAATGGGCCATCGACGAGATGACCATAGTTCTGAACACCACCATAATGCTTCCCCTTGGTAAAATCTTAAGCTGACAAGTGTGGCAAGTTTGAGTTTGAGAGTGCCACTAGACTTGTTCATGGACCGGGTAGCCCAACGGGCCAGCTCGACTTGCATTGTTCTTAGTCGGGCTTGGACATGAATTTAGGCCTATGGGCTCAGGCCCAAAACACCAGGCCTGAGCCTGAGTCCCTCTTCTCTCTTCTCAAGCCATAGTGAGATCTTTCACCATCTTTGGGTTTTGAGGTCATTTAACATAAAATCAGTTTTATTGTTGAGTAAAGAAAATAAAATATTTTTTTCTCAATTTCTTGACCAGACTTTGGGCTTTACATGAGGGCCAGGCTCAGGCCTGAATGTGTTCTGTTGATATAGAGGCAAAGCCCCAGCCTGGCCAGTGAACAGGTCTAATGGTCACTTTGTGCCAAAACAATGCTAAAGGTTGGTTTGTATCCAGTCCACCCTTCCTAAGATAGCTGGGACCAGCACTGGGTAATGGCCTTTTTCATACCTCCCCTCCCCTCCTCCCCTTCTTCACTTCCTCATCTATTAAGGCTCTCTGAGGTGGTTCACCCCCTCTAAAATAACATTTTTTTTGGTTGGGAAGCTATTTTGAAAATCATCAATAGAGGTGCTGAGGTCATCATCATCCAAGCCTTATCCCAACCTATGGGGTGGGGTCGACTACGTGAATCCTGTTTCTCCAGTCTGTTCTATTTAATGCCATATCCTTAAATATGACATTAAATATAGAGGTGCTGAGGTGAGATACTTAAATATAGACAGAGAACTGGACACCTCTGTCTTCATGTATACATCCTTTATTTCAGTTGTGGTAAGAATATCAATCACTATATTATCTTCCTCTTTTATTCAATTGTTACAATTTTTCTTATCTTTTTTCTTGCATTATGAGTATAGTAGCATGTGAAACCATTTCCCCCTCTTTTTGGAGCTTCTTGGGTGCCTTTGCTGACTACCTTTTTTTAACCATTGCTTCTTTCTGATACCATAGATCTCTTGAAAGAAAATATCTTGGCCCTAAAAACAAAAAGAGGTAAAATCGTGTGGAGATGTAATGATAGAATTTTAATTTAGCAATTGGAAAAGGAAAAAAAAAAAGAAATAATAGAAATTTTATCAACAAGAGGTAATAATTTATCACTATCATTGATTCCATTGCTGTCAGCCTGCCATGGTTGTCTATAGGATCTCTACAACAGACGTATTTATGGTTATATCCATAAACTCAATTCTATGAGGCTGGAAAGTAGTGACAAGTGTTACTCAGTAAAGACCTGTTTCCCAATGATGGATGGCCCTAGAAATTGATATTATCAAGATAAGTTGACGGCGTACAGTAGATGACTTGGGCCCCTTGGGTATAGGGGTTTATTGAGAGATCATGTTGGCTCAATACTTTGATCTAGTCAGGACACAGTGGGTAAGCTTCAGGCAAAGTTTTTGGCCCTTTCACAAGGCTTAAAACTTGCACACTGACTGCAAAGTAATAATTGAGTGGATAACTGTAACTAAAGAGGTGGTTGGATCAATACTTTGATCTATTCAGGACACAGTGGGTAAGGAAACTCTCTTCAATCAGAGCTGTTGGCCCTTTCACAAGGCTTAAAACTTGCACACTTCTCAGACTTGTAGTTTATTGATTGAAGACTGCAAAGTAGTAATTGAGTGGATGACTGTAACTAAGGCTCAGTTTGGAAAGAGTACAAATGCAAATATGTACAGTGCAAATACATACAAAACAATACAAAATATAAGGTTTTGCACTCTACATATTTGCATTTGTACTCCTTCCAAACTGAGCCTACAGAGGTGGTTGAACTTTGTGTTCAATTAGATCTGCAAATGAGGTGGTTGACCTCTTGGTCAGAAGTGAATTGGGACTTGGGAGACCCACTCTTGTATGGGGTACCTGCGGGTCTTGGGGCTGAGCATTCTTTATAATGTATTTTTGGGTCATAGTTTCAGTTTGGCTTTTAGCTGTCTTGTGATTTAAGATGCATTGTGCCTATGTTGTTAGCTTCTCTGGCAGCAGGGTCTCACTTCTTTTTCCCACTTAGCAGAGTGAGTTCTGTTATTATTGATAAAATAAATCTTCTTGTAAATCTCAACTCTGCCACAAGAACCCTATTTTGGCAAATGTTTTTACAAAGGACACCTCAAAATGTAGGGCATGTGTTTATGCCTCTAGAACCTTGAAGGTTGATTTTGCAGATGTTTTGTTGGGCCTTTACCTTGAGAATGGATTTAAGGCTAAAGCTTCGCAAGAATTCTAGAATACTGATCAACACTAATCTTTGAATTGTTATGTTAGTGAGAACTTCATATTTGAGTATCCGAGAACTAGGCATTTTGGTCAAATGAATAATCGAGTCCATATTAAGACAAGCATACTAACTATTTAGTCAGTGGATTTATTACTCATCAGAAGAGTTAAAGTACTCGTCCATCATCTTTTTTATGGTATTCCATTCTTTTATTGCTTATAATTTCAAACAATTATTGTGGAAGGAAAATCTAAGCTGACTTTACTTTGGCAGGTTAGGTACCTTGCGCTTCTTATAGTTGATGAACTGTTCATGAGGTCGAAGCTGTTTAGATCCCTCCTTGTTGTGAACTTTGATCAGTTTCTGAGTTTGAGTGTAGGATTCAGAAGGAATCTGCCACTTCCTGCCCCTCCTTCTGTTGCATCAATTCTACGATCAAAAGCCATAGAATTTTTGGAAAAGTGGAATGCAGCATTTGGGATTCATTACAGACAGCTCAGATTAGGGTTTGACTACTTGAAAAACACCCTTCGGTTTCAATTCCCTAATCTTCAGCAAAATGCAGCTCGGTTACAGCAACAGAGACAAGAAAGGGAAACTAGGTCAAGGGAAATATTACTGAAAAAGTTTGAAACTCTTCAGGAAAATCTTTCCATCATAAAAAGTGAAATACAATCCACTATTGATCAGATAGGAGAATGTTTAGATATTGTTGGTATTAAAGAAGATGGGTCTGCAACATGTGCTACAGTGGATGATGATGTTGAAGAGTATCGTAGTTCTGCCTTGTGGCAGATCCGTCTTGAATCACTGAAAGAAGGGGAAAAAGTTCATGAAAACAATGACAATAAGGTGGTCTTTGATGTATTGAGGGAACTATACAAGCTACTAGTGACAAAGCATTTGGCGTGTGTGCAAGAATGGATCTCCGTTCTTGTGAGGGTTGAACCAGATGACAAAAGAATCAGAGATTCCACACTGAAAGAGTTCATTGATATTCGCAATTGTCTTCAATCAGTGAAGAATAGATGTGAGCAATCAGGTGTTGCCCTGCAGAACATTGCAAATCATGAGGAAGAAGATCTTTGGGAGGTTGGTAAGGTAGAAGTGCATGATTGTGGAAATTCTAGTTTAATGAGCAACCGTAGTGAAGATCTTCCCAGTATTTCAACTATCAATGAAGAAAAGGATAAAGATCCTGGCTGCAGTAAGACCATAAATGTAGAGGAGTCCTTGGATCATGGAGGAAGCATATCTGGTTCAACGTCTCTTAGGAGGAAGCTTTTGGCTGAAGCTCCGGTTGTGACTTGGGACTCTTTCCTGGACATATGGGGTTCAAATCGAGTTGTTTTGGCCAACCAGAGGGGGATGGAACTTGAGGGTCATTGGGGTAGGGTTGACTATGATGCAGTTATTCCAGCAGAAAACATTGCTGAGTTGAATGTCCATAAAACTCTGTACAAAGAAGAGCCTGTTGAAATCCAACCTTGCCGTGCTCCTTTGAACAGAGGCGGACTTTGTCAGAGAAGGGACTTGAGAGTTTGCCCATTTCATGGGCTTATCATACCCCGAGATGCTGAAGGGAATCCAATCAATCAAAACCCATCAGTAGATGAAGCAAAACTTGATTTGAGGAATAAGGTAGTTGAATCATTAGCAAAACAGGCAGTGAAAAATGTACGTGATAGAGATAGAGAAGAAGCAAATAATAAAGACGATAGACAGTCATTGAAGCGTGCAAAGCTAGCAAAAGTTCGTGAACACAATGAAGCGGTCCTACGCAAAGCTGCAATTGCATCGACCTCACATTCTGAAATTGTTGGAGATGTGGAAGCAGTTGACAGGAACAGGCGTGGGGTCAGAGAGGAGAAGAAAACACTGGCATCGATGCTGCGTAAGAAAATAACTCCAAAGGATAGATTGGCACAGAAGCTCTTGAACACCCGTGTAAGAGATGCAACGACAAGACAGCTTACGCTGGGGGAGGATGAAAAATACAGAGAAGCTTATCCAAACCAATGGTAGATAATTCTGTTAAAAATGGTTAGTAAGATGAGTAGCTGAAAATGCTTTATGTGATGCAGTGAAGATTTATTTATGGGTCTCTGTTAATTGAGATTTCGCCAGTGCAGACGGACCTAGTTGCAGTCATTGAGGTGTTTGATGTAGCGAAACGAAAGAGAGAAAAAAAGAAAAGAAAAAACCATGGATACAGTCTTTAAGGAACTTACTCAGCAGTGTCCACTTTTGTAGCATATTGAGAAAGCATGCCCTTACGATGGACGTTGTGATGTATCTATCATATTCATATATGTAACACACAATCATTTATTTGAGTATAATCAAGGTTTGAAGTATGGGAAACTTCAAGTGAATGGGAAAAACAATTTTAAGAGACGTATCTCTATAGATAAGCATGTGTATTGGAGAAAAATACGTTTTGAAACATTATAAATATTTTAATAAATCATAAAAATACATAACAACACTAAATATAAGACCTAAATGAGGTGTGTATATATATATATTAAATTAATATATTTTAATGGTTTTATGAAGAAATATATTGTAGTTAATTATAATTTCATTAAAAATTTTATACTTAATTATAATTCTTATGTTTTAATGTTTAATGGGATGGAAAAAACCAACTCTCTTATCTAATTATAAAATATTCATTAATACAATTTCTAAGTGAAAATATACTTAATATTTATTTATTATTTATTTTCAAAAAATATAAAAAATAAATAAACATTATATAATATATTCAAAAAATAGTTATTAAAGAAGAAATTTCAATTGCCTTGTGGAATATATATGATAGATCATCCATAAAATTATAATATATTCAATCATTGTGATCAAATGATAAAATATAATTAATTATTATTTATTTTTTTAATTCTAAAAATATAAAAAATCAAAAAAATATTAAAGAAGAAATTTCAATTGCTCTATGGATATGATAAATAAATCTATAGATCTAAAATATATTTAGTCTTTATACGCAGAGAAAAAATTATATTTTCAAATTTGTTGTTAATTTATATTTTCCCCAAATATCTCATGAAATTTCCATAAATCTATACATAACACAAAAAAAAATGAGATTTTGGATATAAGAAAGGTAGATTAATATAAATTTATACATTTAAGAAAAAAATATAAGATATTATAAAAATTTGAAAAAAAATTACCTATTTTTTACCATTTTTTTTCAAAATTTGAAAAATCTTAAAAAAAATAACGATTCACACTTGTTTTTTGCAAAATTTTGCAAATCTAGCACTGTAGGAATGAGGTTTGGAGTTTTAGAGTCATTTGGGGGGGTGAAAGAATCTTATTTTCCCCTTTATTTTTTTTCGGTTTTTTGTTGTATCTTTTTCGTTGATACGCTACCGATACACCCCCGATATGCCCCAATACTCATGAAAAAAGACGATACACACGATTTCCATGCATATCCCATATCTGTTTTTAAAAGATACAATATGATATGCCCCGTATCAGGCGTATTGTATTGAAATTTTAAACCTTAAATATAATAAATGAAAAAAGAAAAGATGTGGAGATAATAATAAATTGGAATAAGTAGAGTGCAATACACCTCACTAATAAATTAGGGGGTATTTTGCAATGTGAATTGTTCTTAGGTTGTTTTTCTTGGGCATGGGTCAATTCCTTTACTATCCAAGTTGGGTCCGATCCATTTAACTTAAATGACCTACCTTCTTCACCCAATCCTGCATATATAGTTCACTCGAAAGAGCGAACACAACATATGCGAATTGTGTAGTGGAGATGAAATGAGTGTTTCAAGGGCCTAGTACCTTCAGATCAAGTAAATGAATGTGAGAAACCAAAAAAACAGCCTAAGAAACCATTGGATATGAGATTGACTTAGGCGGTGTTTGGCATTGCGTTCATCTTGTAGATGGGACTGTTTTTGCTCCCGTTCACACCCCAATACAGCGTGGACAGGTCTCGTTCACACTCTAATATATCGTCAATGAGAAAAACTTGTAGATACGTTCTGTTTACGGTATATTTTTTATCCCATGTTTCAAGGAGAATGGGTCAAAGGCTATGTGATCTAAGACATACTACAGATACATAGAGATACAGCTTCACTTTTATCTCTGAAATTCTTCCTACAATTGCATTTTAGCTATATGATCTAAGGTATTAATTATTTTACTTAATTTTTTAATTTTTATACATTTTTAATGTTTTTATTAATAAAATAATATTTTTAAAATTCAAAATATATTTTTAATTATTTTATTATTGTTTTATAAAAAAATTAATATTTATTGCAAGGTTTTTAAAACCGACCTGGAGAATGAACCGGTTAGGGGTCTGGTTCCCGGGTCGAACGGTTGGCCCATTCTAACAAAAAAATAAAAAATAAAAAACGGTCAAAACCGTTGAACGGTTCAAATGGTTCAACCGCCTGGGTCAGCGGTTTGCTGAACAAATCAACATTTTTTTTTTACAAATTTCCCGTTTTGGAGAAAAATGGAACCGGTCCCGATTTTTCTGGTCCGACCATCCGGTCCAATCCGGTTTTGAAAACCATGATTTATTGGTTAATGTTAATTCATTGATGCATTTTTTTAAATATTTATCATGTAAAATGCAAAAATTAGATATTTATGATTAGTTGTATATATCATTCATAAAATGTATATAAGAAACATGAAATCAAAAAAAAATGTAGTGTGGACTGGTCCATACCACACTACAGAACGCCACTGTACGTGTGGATTGGTCCAATCCACACAATTTGTCCATAGTTCAGAATAATTGTGGATTGTGGTGTGGTGTGAATCAGTCCCTGCCACAGGGTGTGGTGTGGACCAGTCCACACCCACCAATTTCTCATCCACACTACAGAACACCCCTTATTTGAGAATAATGGTTGGTAGATGTATGTTGGGATTCAACTGAACTAGGTTTATAGTAAGTAGTAATAAATATTCCACTAAGTACTTTTTATTTCATTAAAAAAAATTGAAAATTATTAATGATTTTCACTAACTACAACTAATTATTAATAATAATTTGCTAATTTATTGTAAGTAATGATGATTATTTATGACTTTTACTAATTTGTGGTAAGTTAATAATATTAAAAATTATTCAAAATGTTCACTAATTACATTTATTTAACATTAATTAACTAATGAATGGTTGAATAAACCATTTGGGTTGGGTCTAGGTCAAAAACAATCCAGAACGCTAGGTAGACCCAGATCATAATAATTCTACTTGGATCGAGTTTCAGGTATGGAGCGTAGGGCTGTTCACAAAATAGTAGAAATTGATCAAACCGGCCTGACTCGACTTGATTTGATCGGTTCTCAAAATAATTCAGTCATTTTTAATTTGAAAAATAGTAGAACCCAGCAATTTGGTTCAGTTATGGATTATTGTGTTATAAACTGAACAAAAACCGATCCGACCAACTACTTTTTACATCTATCTGTTGTATTAGTGGGACATAGGAAAATGTAGCTTTGGCATTACTTTTTAATTTAGACTCTTTTTTATGATTTGACTTGTTTTATATTTAAAAATTGTCAGCCGCCTAACATTCTCTTTTTTCATTCATTTCTCCCGCTTTCGATTTCTCAATTTCCGATTTCAAAAAAATGAAAAAGATAAAACTCAAAACTCTATGTCCTACTACCTAGGGTTTGACATCTTAGATTTATAGATGTCAGTTTAATCAAATAAAGTGAGATCACATCTCCACCCCACAACGCATCCCTGCCGTGTATTGGAAACATCTCTCTATGATGACATCATCAATTCTAGTATATCATCAGGAGATGTTCTCAATACACGACAATGATGCATTGTGGGGCGGAGATATGAACTCAAATAAAATTCTAATAAGACAGTTTTCGTACTAAAGTGAAAAGTTTTACTTACCTCTAGTGGAACCCATGTAATAAATTGAAGATTTGATATTTGATAGTAAAATACATAATACACTTTTCTTCGGTAAATCGATTAAACCAATCGAAAAAAATTCAAAATCGGTTTAACATGTTTATGGGTCGGTTTTGGTTGACTAAATAATCAACCCGACAATATCAGTTTGGTTCAAAAAAGTAAGTGAAATGAAACCAAACCGACCCATGTATAGCCCTAATGGAGCGATGAACCTAGAAACTGGTAATATACCTTCTTCACCCGTTTTTCGCTATAGTGGCCGCTCGACAAAGCGGCCACGGCAGCGAAGGACGGTTCCCTTTCACTATAATTTTGCTACCAAATCAACTCAAATGAATAGTTGTTGGACATTCTTTGTATAAAAACTGACTCAAATAAGCTAGGAACACATACCTGGGACGGTTTTTTTATTGACATTGGAGGAGAGGATTGATTTGCAACATGAGTGAGTTGAGATTAATTTGAAGAACCAAAAGCACCAAAATGCGAAGAGATGACATATATAGTGAGAGATGCATAGTGAAAAAATGAGAGAAAACTGAGAAGTAAACGAAGAAACATCACATGTTCCATCGCAGCAACATGGTGCCCCTATTCCACTCCTATTTCTTTGTCCCAAACGGAGAGAGAAGGAAGCAAAAGTACCTGCAAGATTTACTTACTTTTAATAGTTACCAGAGACTCAGCTACGTACCGGTTTGGAAGATTAATAACCAAATCGAACGAAAACCGAATTTAAGACACCAAAATTTGATGTGCAGCATCTGAAACATAAAATTTCATAATGAGAGAGAGTCTGTGAGTAAAATGCAAGAAATGATCAGTCGAACCCATGCTTCGGTCACTTCTCTATCACAATATTTTTGAGTATAGTCAGATCATGTTTTATGGAATGAAAACATCTCTTGCAAAGCTTTAGGATTATTGAAACTTTAGTTCAGTTAGTTTTCAAAAACAACTACTTACCTCTATTTCTCCAAAGCTGCCGTTTTGAGAAAATATTAATAGGCCTAATTAAGATTTCAGGAAAGCTAAGTTGATGGTAGCTTGGAAACCGGAAACTTGAAAGTAGGTACCACGTCTCATGGAATGAGAGAGAGAGAGAGATTGGGCTGGGCATGCTGAGATGTTGATATGAGAGAGGGAGAAGGGAGTGATGAGGTGGCTTCATGAAAGAGAAGGAAGATAAAAATGAGAGGGGCTGAGAATTCTCCATTAAGATAACTAGAAAGCTTGGCACCTTCTACTTTAGTATATATAGATATGTACATGAAGCCCATTAACTACCACGAAGAGCCAGCATTTCTACATGTTTGATCCTGCATCTCCTATCTTTTGAGGGATACCAACTAATCATTATATATTAATAGTTTAACGGCATGTATTATATATACAAATAAAGAACAAAGATATAAAATCATTTTATATAATTAAATTTAATTTTTATGACGTATACCAAAACCAACACAAGTTTACACTTAATAGTTGATAAGTGTATTAACCAGTTCTGTTGGTCTTTCTTGCTTTGCAGTGGAGATTAGATGAATCCCACCTCCACCAAGACTGGGGGTGGATTTGTGACTTTGCTGGATGGGTTTTGATTAGGACTAAACCCAAAGTCAGTTATTGGCAAAACATTGTGAGATCCACTTACAAAAAGCTCAATTTGGTTTAGTCGAAACCGAACTTTTAGCTGAATTCAAGTTCAATATATAGTAATCAACTGAACTCAAATAGCTCGCTATGAGCCAAGCTCAAAAATATAAACTTTTGAGTCGAGCCCAATTTAAATCAATATTTATTACTCAAAACAAGCTTCAACTTGAACTCGATACTTATTGTTATTTGCTTAGCCCCCACCCCTAACCCTCATGTACATTAAAACTTGATGTAACCGTTTCTCGTCATGTACCATTTTTTGTGATGTATAATTTTTTTTGGTTAAGTATCTCGTTATTTGATCCGGTGGTGACGTGCCTTGGTGATGAGCTACTTGGTGACGAACTCCCTGGTGGCGAACTGCTTGGTGGTGAGCTCTCTGGTGGCGAATTGCCTGGTGGCGAGCTCCCTGGTGGCGAGCTCCCTGGTGGCGAACTGCCTGGTGGCGAGTTCCCTGGTGGCGAACTCCTTGGTGGAGAACTGCCTGGTGGCGAGCTCCCTGGTGGACTCATCATTTGACCTGCTCCTAGGTGGTCTGCAACTCAGAGGATGGTGGAGCTCCCTGGTTCAGCGCAACCCGACTACCCTCTGCATGAGGTGATTTCCTCTCCTTTGTAGGCGG